TACCTATGACGAGGTTTGTCGATACTATTGTCGAGTCCTGAGTACACGATACTTCCGAAAGACCCAGCGATGTCATGGAAACTGCTCAAATTAATGGTATATTTCTGGTTCAATTCGTTAGAAGGGCAACTTTCGGGTGAACAGGTCACTGTTTTTAGAAGGAAAAATCGGCAAGGAAAACATGTCGAATAGAAAAGCAAGACTAGACGTTCTCCTATCTCTCGAACTCGAACGTCATTGTTTCGCCAAAATGAGGTTTGTAAAAGCAATATAATGGTTCTGGGTTTTTTTCCTGGCCTACTCCTACCATTGACGCCATCAGATTAATATAACGTTGTGCAGATAATGTTTTAGCTATAGTAAACGCACGGCTATGGTAAGGTTAATGATTAGTTCTGTATTTGATAGACTACTCTGTTGCTTTGTCTAGTAAAGATTAACTTCCTCCACAGTGACTGTCCGAAGGGAAGTAATCAGAATCTTGTTATTAAGAACACCACAATGGTAATATTGTGCACTTCCATCGATGTTAACAGTAGGAACGGTTGCATGTGTTGATGATGTTGTCATGCTGCTGATGTTGTTAATGATGATGAAGTTGACACCGTCTTCTCAGTTAGTTTCTTAATTATACGCTCAACAAGTCAAAAATGGGTTTTAGAATAACCTGTTGAATTCTAAACTTTTCGTCCATTATCCCCTTTACTCTATTCTGCGCATGTATTCAAGGATAAACGCCGTATCAACCTTAATTTGAACATGTTGCTCCAAAGTATCGATCCAAAGTATTTGCCACACAGGCCTTGCTGTTCCTCATAAATACTCGATATAATAAAAATATCGCTTAAAGCACAATCCTGTTTCTTCTGGTAATCGTAGGTATCCGGAAACGGGCTCTGGAAACGTCATTTCCGGCTTCACCAGCACTTAGGCGTCCAGGGGAAGCAATAGGTCACTGTCGGCGAGACCCTGATCTGCTCACGAGGATACTGAGGAGAGTGCTTAGGTAAAGGGTGGCGTCTCTCGTTAGCCTCAAGAGATTTGAACCAAAATTCCTTTCGGCCGATTTTAAAAAACACAACTGAAGTGCAGCCCGGACCACCAGCTCCCTCAAAAACGTATTTTTTTTGCTCCCAAAATTTCTCTTGGATTTGGAAAGCTGTGAGGGGAGTGGGTTGGGTGGGGGTGGACAGAGTAACGAATTGATCTAGTTCACACAGCTCGAAGTTCCTGCTTTTTTCATTAAGCCAAGTACCTCCTCTTCCCGTTGAAACAATCTCTCTGTGGCCAAAAGACACTTAAATCAGAGTAAAGTAATAGTGGCTTGTCGACGTTTCTTAGAAGGCGATGAACGCGTGCGTTTTTCCCCTTATTTTTCTTCGCATCCCGTTTCTGTTACCGGCTTCTCATTCTCTGCCTTGCCCTCCCCCCCCTTCCCCTCGTAACGTACCCGTCTGATTACGTTCCACCTCTTCTTTCCATTAGCCTTTCACACTCAAAATTCTCTGCTTCTGACGTTTGTCTATCCGACGGTGTGTCTGTATCATTGTCTGTCTGTCTGTCTGTCTGTCTCTGTCTCTGTCTCGGTCTGTCTGTCTGTCTCTATCTCTGTCTCTGTCTCTGTCTCTGTCTCTGTCTCTGTACCTGTCAGTCTCTCTCTCTCTCTCTCTCTCTCTCTCTCTGTCTTTCATGTCTTATTATAGGCCAAAGAGAAATGCTGTACAGGAATCACTATTTCGCTTTGAAATGGAGGAGTATACTGATAGTATGCTTTGCACAGAGAAGTATCGAGGGAGGTAGGTCTCTTTCTTATGCAATGCTAAACCCACTTGTGTTTAAAAACTGCTGCCCTCATACATAGGCAGCAAGGGATATTTCAGTCGGTTAAAATGCGCTTCAAGAATATTTTGATTAAAATATTGAAGAACAGTAATGGGAATATTCTAAGTTTTAAAAATTACCGTCCCTGTGCTCTCTCTTCACTGTTAGGAATAAAGGTAAAAAGAGGAATTACTCTTTTTTTCGGCTGTTTTATGGAACCTCAGGAATCGAACTCGAGTCAGTGTTCTATGGTAGGGCTCCTAATATCCAGTACACACTGCCATTTACAGAGTCAGTCCCAGTCCACTAGAGTCTGGGTCAGCTAGATTTTTGTCCATGGAGGAGCAGAAGCTGAAACGTTGGCACAATGTGACTGATTTGACTCTCAACATCGAAAAACAAAACGCGTTTAATTCTGAGGGTTACGATAAAAAGTTTGTCGAAAGCTTGCATAGTATGCTTACCAGGGCCTTGAGAGTGTTTTAGAATACCGACAGTTTTGCTGGAATAATATTTTAGATTGTTAAGCGCGCAGAGCTTGCTGTCGAGCAGTTATTTGCATCATACAAGCTATTCGTTATCAAACTTTATTTACTAGAGAAGGCAAAGGCTGATTTCACGTTAACAAGGTGCTGGTATATTTTTTATTTCTGTTCTCTGTTTCTTTCAAGTCTTGCGTCCTAGCAGAGTACAAAGAACTCCGCGAGTGAAATGACTTCAATGTTGTTAAAAACGGACGTTTCTCACAATAAAGAAATAAAGGACATTAGAGATTTGCTCTAGGCACAGATAGACTACTGTTTACTTTCTGTTAACGTGTCAGTGCTGTATTATGTGGAATTTAAAAACTTCTATAAATTTCCCCATAAAAAGGTCGAAATCCACACTACTGTGATATTCTGAAAGCAAAGAAAGCCTTACTGTATATTATTTTGACTATATTTGCGTTTTACATTCCAACATCATGCATTCTCTCGATTTCGTAACATCTTTAGTGTGTGTGGTTTGGGGGAGGGGGAGGGGCAATGTGTGGGGCGGGGTATTGTCTTCTTCAGTAGAGTAATTTAGGTTTTGGTTTTATAAAAAGTATTAAAGAAGTTTGAACGTGGTCTGTTTTATTCAAATACTTTTGTCATTAATTATCAAATTTTAATCTCCTGCGACAATGAGCTTTTTGTTTGTTTGTTGTTGTTTGTTGGTTTGTTTGTTTGTTTGTTGGTTTGTTTGTTTGTTTTGTTTGTGTTGTTGTTTGTTTGTTTGTTTGTTTGTTTGTTGGTTTGTTTGTTTGTTTGTTGGTTTGTTTGTTTGTTTTTGTTTTGTTTGTTTGTTTTTGTTTTGTTTGTTTGTTTTGTTTGTTGTTGTTGTTTTTTTGTTTTTTTGTTTTTTTTTGGGGGGGGGTTCGTTTGTTATTGATATGTTTGTTGTTTTGCTTTCTTCTTTTGTGTTTGCCAGTTTTGGCTTAGTTTTAAATGTTCCAGCAGGTGGGCGTGACCTGGAGCAAGGGATCAAAAGTCGCCCGCTTTGTTCTAATGTATTCCTAAGCTTACTTTAAGCCTGCTAAGAATTATACTTGAGGCAATGTCTGATGAGCGATTTATGAATATTAATCAATTGAGCCGGGTTTTTTTTTTAGGGTTGGGGGGCGGTTGATGTTTCTTTTGCTCCACATCTTTGATTTCCCTAAAGGCGTTTGTGGTGCAATGGTTAGGCCCTTTTAATTTGGCAAGCAGAAAACGTGAGTTTAACTCCCAAATGGTAATGATTGTCAACGGAGTTACTCAGTCTGATGTTTTGTTTGTTTTATTTGAAATGTTTCATCCCTCTTCGTCCTGGCTGGCAAACAGCCAGCTCCTTACATGATCTCAATTCTGACGATGGGGTCTCAAAACATGTGCAGTTGTTACAATCATTTGATTTCTCTCTGGTTGGTTGGAAGCTGCCGTTGATATGCCGCCGGCGTCTCTCTTTATAGAAGCGGTTAGGTACTAAACCGTTGCACGCAAAAGACTTGAGTTCGAGTCCCGTGGGGGGAGAATTTTTGTTGGGTATCTTCGTCTTTATGCTTGGATGCTTTCAGACCATGACGCTTATGGGCTTATGTAGTCAAGAGCGCCATAAAACTCTTACCAAACTAAACTACACTAAGACCACGTAGGTTCTGCTGTTCGTACAATTCCTTATGTCTCCTGGAACCTAACCAATGACATACAGTAGTCAAATTTGCTTCCAGATTCTCAGAATACAGCTATTGGGATCATTGTTTCCTGTATTAGTCCATGGTTCTGTTGAAGAGCTCCACTACATTGTTAACACGATGCGTTTCAATCTAGCCATAGCGCTGAACATTTCTTTATATTTTATCATTTCCAGTACTATGCTGTGGTGCATCAGTTTTTATTATGCTCTCATGAGAAAAGTAGTCACTAAAATATAAAGTGGACATTTGGTGGAGGTTTTAATAGGTGTCATCTTTTTTGCGTCTTTTCATAGCATTGTCTTTATGTGTTCTAGGGATATGTTGAAAGCAGAGAGTCAACTGTAAACGTCCGTTTAACAACCACAAGAGCTAAAGAAGACAAAAGCTAGTTCCTTAAAATTTAAATGCAACATAACTTTGGCTCAGGATTGGGGAAGGGATGGGGAAGTGAAGCATACAGTTTTGAAACCTGCCAAATCACATGATAAACAACATAATAAAATAATAGCAAACCGATCACAGTTTGGATGTAATGAAAAAAAAATCCCACATCCATCCCTCGCCCTCGCCCTCCCCTTCCATCACCTATCCCAAGATCATTGATACAGTATTATAGACAAAAGCATAAGATACAGATCAGGATAATGTCAGTTTTGAAAATAGATTACTGTGGCACGCTTCTCCCAGCTCAATAGCCTCCAGCGTTGCAAAAAGATTAAAATCAAATCTTAAGCTGCCTTGCCCATGTTAAAGATTTCTTCATTTGATTATAAACTCAAAGATCTGTAACAAATGTGTTTTCGTTGACACAAAATTTGGTAATACACTCAGTGATCCACAAAAGAACTGTTTTTTTTTTGTCACGAAATTGATGACGCGATTAGAGTCCAATGAATGCAAGTTTGATCCCTCGCAGCACATGTCAAGCTTCCACTTGCAGGGAACGATAATACTTCTGCATAAATCAAAGATGGCAGGATAT